CCCCCCCAACCCAAACATTATCTCTTCAAGTTATAAACATGTTAATAGACGTTACTCTTTAGTTCAACACAAAAGGACTTGTCGTTTTACCTACCTCCTGTCCTTCTCTGTAATACACTCTACTGCACCTCGTTTTCTTTGATCACTGTTCCTGTTACTGCTACTGCAGTTCTTCAATGGCCGTTTACCTTCACTTACTTTCACTTTCCCCCTCCTCTTGTATTGTTAGATGTCGAGGGGAGGTGCAATTTTCTGTCAAAGGCTTGGTGGGTGGCTTCTGTTGTAGATTATGTTATTCTGTAGGAGGATCTCTTTGAAGTCACTCAGCCAAGTTTTCCGTGGTCTTCCCCTGGCTTTTAGCCTTATTATTATTATTTTTTTTTGGCAAGCGAGGGGGGGGGGGTGTGTCAGTCTCAACGGGTGACTGAGTCACTTTGAATCACTTAACGTTTTGATGTTCAATATGCTCTGTGACCTGTGTTTGATGATATAAAACACCACATCAGTTTCGGTGATTGTTCGTACCTTGTGGATTTGTCCAGGCCACTATTTTACCTTTTCACATCAACTGAAGAAAGTTTTTAACGGAACATAAATCTTTATTAGAGAATTAAAGACTAGGGGGTCAGGTAAAATTTTAATCACTTTGAAAATGTATCTGTACGTTGTATGTATGTATGATATGTTCTTGGGTGAGTTTTTTCGACAATCTGTATACAGCAGTTTGCTCTAACAAAAATGTACAAATTTAGTCGTGATCAATTACTATACTAAATGGCTTATCAAATTAGTTATTTTATAGAACACAACATGTACCCCTCAACCAACATCTCAACCAAATTGGAGTAAAGCAGTCTGCTGCCTGCCTACTATGTGACTACCCCTCAGAGACAGTGGAACATCATCTGTTCTTCTGTAGAAAACTAACTGATTTAAGGAGATGTTTTCTTCCAAAGCTACCCCACACATCTAACTGCCTCTACTCCTCAAGACAACAATTAGAACAAACATACAACTATTACCGAATGGCATCATGCAGAAGAGTTAACGCTCAGATGCTACTGGATCGCTGACAACAACAACAACAACAACAACAACAGCAACAACAGCAACAACAAATTAGTTATTTCTATCTGATAACTTCTAGTCAACCTTCTTGTTTATTTTTAGTTTTAGTAAGAATTTTACAGCACTTACAACACAATAACGTCATATAAGTGCCGAAGATTAGAGGTATTACAAGAGAGTAACACACACGAACATGAAGGAGGGGAGCATAGGATTATAGATGATTGTTAGGAAAAAAGGAACGAACCACACCGGAGCACCTGCCAACCACCCGCTTGCCGTTTCCAAGCAATAACCACTGTTACCCATTCTTACTGTACCTGCAATACCTAGCGATGTCTTCTCTGGCCCAGAGGTTGACATGTAATGACCCGCCATTGTTAACGGTCGCTAGTTACTTTTGAACATTTTGTCATAGTCAGCCCAGCCAATGATTAATGTTATGTCATCTGTTCACATTGTGTGTTACCCACCCTTTTGAACACCAGCTAAATCATCCTGTCGGGTATTTCCATCATAGCCTTCTGGTGGAGTTTTACATTACCACAGTTGAAGTTATGTCATTCTCATACTGTGCCGGTACAACATAGGGGGAGCTACTGCATTTTCTTTCCTCATCCTTACTATCGTCATTTTCCCCTGTACTTCTTTTGTATGTTTGTCATTC